GCAAATCCTGAGGTCAAAGAACACTGAGGCCGACGCTTTGTCCCGGCTAGCCAGCACCAGTGACAACACCATGAGAACTGTGTACATAGAGGAGTTACCTCGGCCTAGCACTCTCCGGGGGGCAGAGGAGGTCGCTCTTGTCGCCCAAGCAGAACCGAGCTGGATTGATTCACTCGCGAGCTTCCTACTACATGGAACCCTCCCCGCAGAACGTCATGATAGACGCACGACTGTACCGAAGATCCTACACGCTCCCCTACCTGCGTTGTTTGCGACCTCCCAAAGCCGAGCTCGTACTCCGCGACATTCATGCAGGCCTATGTGGCGGACACTTGGGGGGCAGGGCCGTCACTCAGAAGGCACTACGACAGAGGTACTATTGGTCAACAATGAAAACAGACGCCGTTGGGCTAATTAGGAAGTGCGAGAAGTGCCAAAAGCACGCCAATATTCACCACCAGCCCGTCGCCGACCTCAAGTACCTCACCAGCCCATGGCCCTTCGCACAATGGGGTATCGACCTACTCGGAACATTCCCGCCAGCAACAGAAGGAAGGAAGTTCCTAGTAGTGGCAGTACACTACTTCACCAAGTGGGTTGAAGCTGAAACTCTCGTAACCATCACAACTCGAAACGTCCAGAACTTCTTCTGGAAGAACATAGTGTGCCGCTTCGGGCTACCTCGGGTGCTGATCTCCAACAACGGCAAGCAGTTCGAAGACATCAAATTCCAAGAGTGGTGCCAAGGCATGGGGATCCGACAAAACTTCACGTCGGTTGCGCACCCACAAGCAAACGGTTAAGCAGAAGTCACGAACAGAGCTATCCTCCGCGGACTAAAAACTAGGCTAGACTGAGCTAAAGGGTTATGGGCAGACGAGCTGCCCAACGTCCTATAGGCATACCGAACTACAGAGAAGACCGCCACTGGAGAAACTCCCTTCAACCTCACCTACGGCACGGAGGCAGTCATCCCAGCCGAAATCGAAATCCCCTCACTTCGGTTGCAAGCATACGAAAATACTAATAACAACGAGCTACGTACCAACCTCGACCTACTTGACGAGGTGAGGGACCTCGCATACATCAGAACCGCAACATACCAGCAAAGGGTAGCTCGTTACTACAACGCTAGAGTTAAGAAATGAAACTTTCGCGTCGGCGACCTGGTCCTTCGCAAAATCATGGTACCTGAGCCCGGCGTTGGCAAACTCGGGCTGAACTGGGAAGGACCCTTCTGAGTGAAGAGAGTACTCGGGGGAGCATACGAGATCGAGACCCTGGAAGGTAAACAGATACCCCGGGCATGGAACATCATCAACTTAAGACAATTTTACCTATAAATTATCAAACTAAGCAGGCCATGAGCCACTACTAGAGCCTAAGGGCCAGAATGCCGAGTAGCAAAGACCTCGACACCCTAAGGCCCAGAATGCCGAGCTAACAAGGACCTCAGCACCGAAAGGGGCAGAATAGCGAGCTAAAGATGACTTCAACACCTCATCAACGAAAGCAATCTGCACAAGTATGGATCCCGAGGTGCATAGCCCGGGGCCCAATTCAGCCTACGTTAACTAACCCGGGCGGAGAACAGATTGGGCACATAGCCTTACTATGTTAACTCGCCTCGGTGCTTAAGTCTAACAGCTCGGGTATATAGTCACTTCGGCAAAAGAAGAATATTTGCACAACACTTTTGAACAGAAAAAGTACTTCATTGCTAAATGTTTGCTTTACAGTGTTTAAAAAGAAAAAGCAAAAACAAACAAAAAAACACAAACGAGCTCACAAGCCCAGAGGTCAATCTTCCTCGCCTTCAGAAGGGACTTCGACAACACCCGAAGGACCCACTTTGTCTTCGGAATCCGCATCATTATCAGCTGCAGCAGCCATTTCTGGGTTGATGCACGAAGTGGTTATGGCACTAATATCGAGATCGGGGTACGTATTCCTTATCATCCATCGGCTCAGCTTGAAACCCCTTCTGTACGAGCCCACCATCATATCGTCAAAGTGCGGCGAAGTGATGTAATCTTCGACGGCTTTCACCTTTGCCTCCTCAACGGCCTGAGAGAAGATCTGAGTCTTCTCCCTGATATCTTCTTGGAGGTACTCAACCTGATGCTCCATGTCCAACTTCAGGTCCGGCATGTGCCTCACCACCATTCCTAAGGCCTCTTTGTCCCTCCGAGACCTCGACAGCTCAGCTCGCGCAGCACGGGAAGCCGCTTCGGCAGCTTATGCTCGCTTCAAACCCCTCTCCGCCTGGATTGCCAAAGCGTGGATAGAAGAGTTCACCTGCCATAACGAGGACAAATCAGTTCGGTAAAAAAAAAAACAAACAAACAAACAAACAAACACTACTTCAACTTACCACCATGGCGTGAGAGGCAGCCCGAGCGCCTATGAGATTTGTAGGAAGATTGGCCCACGCTGCGACCTCCTCGGGGCAAGTAGCCTTCTTGCTTTTTCGGAGAGCGGAGCTCGGCGTTAGCACGCTCCCAACCTCATCGTGACTTCCCGAGCCCGAAGGCATAGCCCGGGTATAAGCAGCATCGGCATAAGGGATCCCTGCCGCTTCCTGAACTGGAGGGGACACCTCGGGCTCCCCAGAAGGCTCCATTCTCGGTGCCTTGGGCTCCGTAACCCGGGAAGGATCGGCACGGACCTGCTTAGCAGCTTGCTTCCTCCTTTTCATGCCAGCAAACAAGTTCGCACCTCGAGTCTTCTCTGCCTCCATAACACCTGCAAAAAGGAGCTCGGCGTCAGAAAACGGGAATAAAAGCAAAAGCAAGAGTATCCTCGTCTGAGCAAGAAACCTACCCGAACTCAGACCGACCTGAATAAGCTTGTCCTCCGTCAGGTAGACTTCGCATTTGAGCCCTTGCCGGGCCCAGTCCTGGAGGCCCTTCACCGTATCTTCGTCTAATGCAACACCGGGGTCAGGAGCAGCCAAACCTCAGTAGGAAATGGCCACCCCGTAGCACTTCGAACCACGAAGTAGTCCCGCTTCCATGCCGGGACCTTATTTGGGAGATCGTGTAAGAGCTTGAAGCTTAGGTGAGGTGACAAGTAGTATACCCTCCTACGCCCGTGTAGGGGACCCGCTTGTTTCTTAAGCATGAGAATAGCGGAAAAAAATTTCCAAGTCCAATGGAAGGCAGTGCTCACAGCAAAGGGAGATGGTCCCGACAAGGTTGCGGAAGAGTTCGGGTGAAGCTGACCTACAGTGACGCCGAAGTGGTTCATGACCTCGACGATTAGGGGATGGAAGGGAAGGCGCAGCCTGGCAACAAGCTGCTCCCGGAATATCACGATCTCATCCGGACCGTGCTCCCAAGGAAAGTCACCTGAGGGTAAAAAGTAAGTATACTCCCCGGGCAGGTTATACTGGACGATAAGGGACCAAAGCCTTTCAGACGTCATAGTGGAGGGTCCGAACTTATCTGGCACCCGACCTCGACGGGAGGTGGATGCCAAACTACCCGAGGTGACTCGGCCTATGGGCTCGAACTCGAGCTCTTTCTCGAGCTCTACCTCGGGCCCCGCCTCAGACTCATTAAGGCTGTCGGGGGCAGCAGCTCGGTTCGTAGAACCAGCATCGGACCCCCCAGGAAACTACCTAAACTACTCGAGCTAGACATCGAAACAAAGAGGGCTGGGGACTAACCAGGAAAAGCTACCGGACTACGAACAAGTGACGTGAGCTGACAGGCTTGGACGCGAGCTCAAGGAACAAATGTCGAAGGATGACGGAGGAAAGTGACAAGGGGCCCCCCCACTATTTATAGCCACTGTACCCGCACATCAATGGCCAAGATCGAAACCATCCAATGGCTCCCCGCGAAATCAGCTGTGCACTCCCCGAGGAAAAGACACTTTGGCGTGCGTTGTTTACGCTCAAAAATTTGAAATCGTTTACGCGCATGAGCTACACGCAGCCCGGGCCTGACCCCTGGTCGAACCAAGCCGACCCCGGTTGAGCCAAGAACACAAGCAGGTCAGATCCAGAGAAGTTCCAAACCGAGGCCAAAGTGTCCTGAGGCAAATCCACCTGTCATCCCGTGAACTCCCCATGCCGGGTCAAGACCCCGAGCATGGGGAGTGGGGGGCAATTGATGGAGGAAGATTTCACCCGACCCCTTGACCATACGACACGTGGAAGCAACCAAGAGTGACCTGGCAGAAGCGCCAGCTCGGCACGACATCGAACCTACAACCCGAGCTTCGAGAAAAGAAGTCTCGAGCTCCCCCAAAGGGGGAACCTACAACTCGAGCTCCGAGTTGAAGATTCTCGAGCTCCCCAAGGAGGAACCTGAGCTCTCCCTTCGAGGTCCTGAGCCTTACAAAAAGTACAAAAGGCAAAGACCCGAACTGCCCACCCAGAGGCAGTTCGGGCCACACTTCTATCCGAGCTCAAGACTTCACCTCACACGCCACTTTGGCTCCAAGTGTCCTGGCTGAACAACCGTACCTGACGCCTAGGAGACCCGTACACGGAGGCGGCGCACCTGACTGATTAAGGGTCCGACACATGACAGCCGCCATCTAACGGCCACCTGCCACCGCCATCTTAGACGGACAGAGGTGGCCCTGGCAGCTAGCAGTGGAGGTTATGACACCCGAACTGGTAATTGGCAGAAGAAATGACACCCGATCTGGAAGAGGAAATGACACCCGATCTGGAAGAGGAAATGACACCCGATCTGGCAGAGGTAATGATACCCGAACTGGTAGAGGCATGGAAGTAAATGTACAAGGTGATTATAAATGGCCCCAATCTCACAAAGAAGAGGGTATGTGATTCTTGCGCTTTCTGGTCTTAGAATTCCTCATTTCCCTTGCCTTCTGAAGAGCACTAACTTGAGCTTCGGAGTATTCCAACCGGGTTTCTCCCCGGAAGTCTCCATTTTTCTCATTATTTCAGGCACCTCCAATCTCGTCAAAAGTGAGGTAACCAGTAGCTAGGACGGACCAGATTGCGCTTCATCACAACTCACAATGTCGAGCGAGTGATGGGAACACCATAAAGATTAAAGCTTAAAAGGGCAATGGTGAACGAAAAATACCTTTTGCTTCTCTCGAGCCGTGCCCGTCTGAGAGAGCGCAACAAGCAGCGGGATCCCACCTTCTCTCACCAACAATCCTCTATTTCGTACACTTTCAGCGCATAGTTGCAAAAGCGTTAGTACCGCGAACTCTTTCCCTTTCACCAACCCGTCTTCGATCGCTTCAACCAAAACTGTAATCCCTCCTTCGATTATGGCAGTTCTGCCCTCTGGAATTGCAGCTAAGCTGCTCAGAACCACCATCACCTTCTCCGTCAAACCGCTCCCCTGCTCTGAAATAAAGTCCACCAGCGGTTTCACGGCTCCTGCATTAACGGCCCTCTCTTTGTTCTGTTTCATAGAAACTAGCTTGTAGGTCGTAAGCGCGTCTTTCTTCCCTCGATTTGATCCGTTCAGGAGCAAAGAGACCAGCGGCAGGATCGCTCCACAAGCATCGATTGAAACCTTATTGCCTTCGATTTGAGTGGTTGTTTTATGTTTCATTGCTTATTTTTCATTTACTAATTACTGGTGTAAGTGCACCTATTATTGCATGTGTTAAATTAAGGACTTGTTTGTTTATAACTTTATTCGGGTAAATGTTCCTAGAAGTTGGGTAAATTCACTCACTCAAGTGTTTTTTGATTCCCAATATTTTTATGTAAATAATAAAATGATATTTTTATTCACAAAAAATTAATATTAAAATAGGCAAAATTATCTCAAACTTATTTACCCATCTAAGAAATGGCAAGTTTTAACTAGGGAAGTAAAACTAATTTTACCATGGGGCCCATTACTAAATGCAAAAAGAACATTGTAAATTGGTCAATGGGAAAAATACCCATTGACCAACTTTCCCCTTCTTATTTACTAGTAAACTAACAGTGCCTTAAGGTAAACTATAAGTTAATATTATATATTAAAATTTAACTTTTTAAATTCACCAAATTAAACAAAAATAAGTATTGGCTTTATAATAATATAGATAAAACTTTATATTGGTTATATATAGTGGCAAAGCTAGAAATTTTCCTTTTTTCCTTTTGGTTTGGGGGAAGGGGGAGGGACATTCAACAAGAAAATGAAATAGGGAGTATAAGAGGTAGATTTCAAGAGAAATGGGCTAGGCAGGTTTGGATCTATTACACATTTTATTTTAAAGAAAAAATAAACATTTTTTATTATGGGAGTTGGAGGAGCATTACACAGTGATCCTTGACATTTTCAGTTCACGTTTTCGAGGGTAGACCCACTTTATTACATTTTTAACCCAACCTTCATTTACTAGTTATAAAATCTTAGTTTTAAACAAACATACTCCGCCCCTCGGTATATTAAATGAAAAATTTCAGCCAACTTCAAGTTTAACTCGAACTCAACAATCATTGAGGTGTCAAATTTTTAACGAATCTAAAGAGAAATTCTCAATCCAAATGCGCTCAATCTAGACATTATAGAAGAGACAAGGGATCCATAATTATATATTTGATTTACTTTTCATGCAAAATAGAGGACTGTTAATGAGTTTAACCAACCCGACTCAACTCAACTGATAATTCGATAAATCAGGTAATTAGTTTCGGTTTGGTTGTACGTAAATCAACCAAAACCAACTTAGCCAACTACAGCCATATGGTAATGTATTATATACTATATATAATTATATATCTTAAATTTGTAATATGAGTTGTTTCATTTATATATATATATATATATATATATATATATATATTATTGATGTTTTATTTGACCCAATAAATCATCTCAAACTGACTCTTCATGTTTGGGTTGGTTTTTACTCATAATTGATTGATTTTGGTTGGTCAATTGAACAAATTAGTTTGGTTGGCCAAACAATTTGCAAATCAAATCAAGTCGACCCATTCACACCCCTAGCAAATTAAGAAAGAAGTGGACTTCTTTATCAGCTAAAGAACATGTGCGGTTGAACAAATGTCACTTGCCAAGTGAAAAGACACTAAGATAGATAGGGTAGAAGCAAAAGGTTCCAACCAGTTTAGGGATGGCAATTTTCCCCATCCCTAGCGGGGACTCAACTTCCCCGACCCGATGGGGGTGGGGATGGGGATCATTTTGGCGGGGCGGGGGCAGGGGCGAGGACGAAGATTAGTAGGAATCCCCGATCGGGGTCAAGGTCGGAGATGGGGATTGAGGTCCCCACCCTGCCCCGACCCCGATTATATATTATTTATATTATATATTAAATGTATATTGTTATATTATTTATTATATATACATATATCAAAATATATTTAAAACTTTATTTATAACTTTAAATTTTTATTTATTTTAAGTAAATTTATTTTTTCAAAAAAATATTGTTATCTAAAAAAATTACAGGGGTTCAGGTCCCCGTGGGGAAGCCATCCCCGTTAGGGATCGGGGATGGAGGACAAATTTTATCCCGGCAGAGATCAGGGACAAGGACAGGGTTATTTTTATAATCAAGGTCAGGGACGGAGAATATGATCCCTGCCCCAAATCCTCCCTGTTGCCATTCCTAAACTAGTTGGTTGGTAAGGTATATATATATATATATATATGGTTTTAAAGCCATCAAATTTTTGGGTTTTTAAAACAATAATAAAATTTGAAGTATATATATTATATTATAAACGTGAGATTATTACCCAAAAAGTTGTATTATTCATGAGAGATGTTGACTAGTCGAAAAAATATATTTTTTTTATACACAAGAGAAAATCACTACCAAGGGGCAGAGCCCTTCCAGTAGCATCAAGGAACGCCAAGAAGCTCAAATCTCAGGGTATCTGCCTCCAATGATCTCCATCTAGACATTTAATTGCTAGCCAATCAACTGCATTATCTCCTCAGGACCATGTCATTTGATTTGGAAAGACTTTCTCATTCCTGTTTTTCCATAAATACCAAAAAAATAGTGACCATTTTTTACAAAAAAAAAAACATGGGGTATTTACTTGGAGGTGTAAATCGGCCAATATTGGTACGAACCAACACAAAATTGGATCTGCCTAAAACGATCCGATACAATGGCACGCGGGCCATGTGAGGCACAACACGATGGGATGGGTTGTGTCAGACTTGGGGTTTTAGGTCCATGAGCCGGCACGGCCCAACACATGACATAGCCTATTGGCACATAGTGGGCCAAGCGTGCCCACCTAAGGAAACTAGTCATTGGAACCCCTAATAGATAGTTTTTGCTTTTTGGGGTGGGATTTCACACAAATACCCCCAATACCTATAAACAATTATATGGGGGGTATTTATGTATTTTGGTTGGGGAGAAAAAAATGACAACAATGCCCCCAACAGCTATATAACAACTAGTTTGGGGCATTTGGATAAAATGATAAATGGCTTTTTATAATAACTAAAATATCCCTCCCAACAATTAAAAAATGACTATTTATAAGGTATTTTGGGCAATTAAATTATTTTTAATTCCTAAAAATACCCTTATTCTCTACCATTCTCATCACACCAATTATCATACTCTCTTATACACTCTCATACCCTCCCTACTCCCCAATCTCAAGCATCTCAAGTTAACAATTTGAAAGGCTTGGAGATTTCAACCATTGAAATCAAGTTGAGATTCCGAACCGGCAACCTAGGTAAGTACAATTAAATTAATTTTTGTTTATTTAGAATTAAAAAAAAAAATTGGCTATTCCTCTCGAAACCAATTCCCCAACATATTCAATGTCAATGATGTTTAGTCATAGTACGATAGTGTTAGTACCGATATGGATGCTACTAATGTTGTTAGAGTTCCCACCCTTCATACTACTACTGGAGGAAAGAAAATATTTAGAATATAAGAGGTTGAGGGAAAGGGAAAAATAGTTGTTTTCCAAACATGTAAGAGTGACTTTAGTTATACTAGCAATGGTAGTATTGACCAATTTGACAAACATTTGCTCTCCCATGAGAAACATGAAGAAGAAGAGAAAGAAACATCACAAACACAAATTGGACATGTGGTTATGGTATTTTTAAATATTCTCAAGAAAAAAATGAGTTAAGAGTTAGCAAAATATATTGTACATGCTAAACAACCATTTTAATTAGCCGAGTATATTAAACTTTAAAGATTTTTACAATATTTCTATAAATCCACAATTTAAAAAAGTTTATAGAAATATTATTAAATTATACGCTTTAATTTTTTTATTCATATAAATACAATTTAATTTATATTTTATCAAATCTTAATTATAGAGTTGCAATTACTTTTGATACTTAGACCTCTAAATATAATATAAGTTATATTTGTGCTACTGGTCATTTTATTAATGAAAATTTCCTTTTACAATAAAATAATTTTAAGTTTTATTAGGTTTGAATGGCCACAAACTGGCCCAACAATTGCTGTAATTATTTTAAATGCTTTCCATAATTATGGAATTGAAAATAAGCTTTTTTTCTATTAGTTTTGATAATGTTAGTAATAATGATTTAACAATAAATATTTTAAAATTTCAATTAAAACCATATTTAGATGGTAAATTATTTCATATTAGATGTACATGTCACATCTTAAATTTATGTGTTCATGATGCTTTAAATATTATTTCTCCTCATATTTCTAAAATTATTAATTGTATTTTGTATATTATAATTTATGGAACAAGAAAACAAGAATTTAAATATTTATGTCAAAATTATGGTTTAATAAAATATACAAATTTTGTATTAGATATTCAACATAGATGAAATTCTACCTATTTTATGTTAGAAAATTGTATTTCTTACAAACAAATTCTTATTAATTTTTGTAATGCAAAAATGCCATATGATATTATATTTGAGGAAGACTGAGAAATGACAGTTTGTATAAAAGATTTTGTAAAAAATTTTTATGTTACAACTAATGATTTTTCGGGTGTTTATTACCCAACTAGTTGTATTTTAGTTAATCATTTGTTTATGATTAGTGAATGTTTTTGCAAAATATAGAAAATATTCACAATTTTAAAGTATTGTTGAAAATAAAAAATAAAATTTAAAAATATTAGAAGAACATTTATATTATTTATTGTTTAGCTACAATATTAGATCCTAAGATTAGGAAAGATGGTTTAGATGCTTTATTTAAATCATACTGTAAAAATATGAATATTGAAATTGGAAATAAAAAAGATTGAAATGTATAATTTATATGAATATCAAATGATAGGGCATAGGAAAATTGTAACTTGTCCGGGTGAAACTTATACCTATAAAACAACTAGTTCCAATAGTGTAAAAGAAAAATTTTGGTCTCTAATAAGTAAGAGGCAAAAATTTATTGCCACTTCATCAACAAGTTCATTTATTGAACTTACAAAATAGTAGTGGTTATGTGCTTACAAAATAGCGGTGGTTTGCAGAGGCCAGTGGAAGGGGCCTTATTTATTGTATTTGGGCTTCCGCTTTTTAGAATATTGTCATATTTGCTACTTTGTTTATGATTTAATTAATCCATATGCTTTTAATTTCCATTCTAGAATATTCTTAAATATTATTATTATATAAAAGTCCCAACTCTTGAATTGCTTTATAATTTTGTAAATAATTAGCAAATAGTTGGTCTATCCTA